TTGATGCATGTGCGCAAAAATGTGCGCGTTACTACGTAGGCTACAACCGAAGCACGCAGGAAAATGTGTGTGATGTACTATAGTATTCAAAACGTTTGACTCAACTATGTTGGCATAACAGGTGCACATCTCGGTTTCGCATATGCATACCTCCTATTTCCACAAGGATATATTAATTTTGCCAAAGTCAATGCAGTACTGAAAGGCTGCGGTTCTTCCAAAAAAAAAACACGTTACTCATCTTTAGATACCAGTGGATGGTTTTACATGCCCTTGTTCGAAGTGAATAACGAGGTCAAATATTCCAATCCAATTAATAAAATAAAATATTTCCCAAGTCCCTAAGCTTAAACTAGGAAAACGAAAAGCGCGCGGCAACGCAAATGTAGTTTGAAGAGCGCAATAGAAAGTGGATAGATTCTGTCGATGGATCCTGGCTTGTATTAGTGAAATAAACTACCATTTGTTCTACTAAAATTGAATTACTGACATTGTAAGGAGATTCAATGTTACTATGTATGCAAAACTAAACCATATAGTTATGAAATAATTGTTTTTAACAAAAAGGCGCTCCTGAAGTATTCGTACCAAGATGGCGCACAACCTGAACATTGTATGTTCACCAGGTTAGGGTTCAGGATGTGCGTCATTTTGGGCCGAATACTTTAAATCCACTTAAAAAAATTGCTCAACATTTTATACTCCACACCCAGCTGGGTATCATTATATATGTCATATACATTATATCTAAACAATAAAAAAAACTTTATGTCCCAAAACAATGTTAAGGCCCGCTTCTGCCGGACTATAAGCATCTCTACTCTGAGTCTACTACTATAGCTGTTCCGAAAAAGGTTTTGGATAGAGCAAATTCATACTGTGTATTATGGTATTTGTTGTAACCCATAACGTTTGTGTGATACTATTTAATTTCGTTAGGTTCCAATTAATTTATTCCAATTGAATCTTCATACAATAATTCGCCTAACCCCACCGAGGAGTTTACATAAATATCAAGTTCAATTATCGTAACTGTCTGGTTTTGTGCAAAACTCAATCGATTCGTTGCATCCTGACTGAAAATATGGGCAAGGGCTGGTCGCAAGACCGGATTTACTAACATACAAGGCGGGCTGAAGCCTCTGAACCTGTAAATTAGAAAATAATGGCTTCGACATTCAATTTTGAACCTTCATTCATTTTCAACCGGTTTTCTAATTTTAAAAGCAAAGTTTACATTTTTGACCAGATAAATTATATACGGATTTCTTTGTTACAAATATTCCTATTCTAATTAGAAAGAACTACGTCATTTTGACTTTGAAAACATTAACGGTACCATGAAATGATAATAACTGTATTGATTTATCGACAAAACAACGAATTTCTTATTTGAGAAATGAAATAATAAGTTTATTTATCAGTAATGTTGTATTTATCAGTATTTAAGCCAGGCCCAGCGACTAGTATTGTGCCGTCTCTTTTCTGGTGTCATGACGTTTCATTACAGTGGTAAGTGGTAAGTGGATGCCATGAAGTGGTAAGAACTGCGCCTCCTACACGCCGAACACTGGGGAGTTTCATTAATGACCTCAAGGGCAGAAACATTCGTGTTCTGGCCAGGAATTACAGCAGCGATCTTGACAATACGCAACAAGTGCCTAGAATGCAATCGCATGGCTCCATCACAGCCATGCGCTCCATCTACAGTTCCATATACACCATCTTACCCGTTCCAATGCATTTGTGCCGATTTTTCCACTACAAAGGTGTCAACTACCTAGTTAGTCGAGAGAGCGTCGGGCGGTACGTCTCGAATTCTGACGGACGGCCTGAATTCACTTCTGCTACAACACAAAAGTTCCCTATGAGAATCCTATCTACCGCAACCAAATTGCTTTTGAGACCTAACATTAAAATGTTTGTTAACCACCTTTATTTGGCATGGGATAGGTTTGAAACGACTGGGGTATATTTTGACAAGCTTACAACCAAATATTCGGTAACCCTAGTCTAGAACAAAGAAATAGAATGATACTAGACATTAATTTTTGCATATACGTTATGTGATATATTATAACAGGGGTGTACAATCTTTATTACAGGAGGGCCAAATACAAGTAACTGGGTGAAGCCGCGGACCGCACCTAGAAACGCTACCTACCGAAGGCGTTGGATACGAAAAATTCAACTTGCAAAAATTGTTCTCGTAAAAATATTCCTTGGGCTAACGTAAGATTTTCTTCATACAAAAGGCCGAAAACTTGAAAAACGCGTGTAGTGATGTTTGTTTACTTTAGGTTAATTTAACGCAGTGCTTGAAGAAGGGATGTCCAATTAGAATTTAATATTCGAATATCGCGACCTTCAAATATCGTTTTTCGTGTTCATAAGAATACCGAATATGGCGCACATATCCTATAGCAACGTCGTCCACGTTTTGATTTTAAAACATTTTACAAGTATTTCATTTCTTATCGTAATCAAATGCAGCCGTGTGTGGCGGGGTAATGAATTATCTTCCATCTCATTGGCCCGTTTGTTTCCCGCCGGTACGTATAGCCTACTATGTGTTACTAGCAAAATTCAGTGAGAAGACAATAACAGTTAAAACAAAAGAAAATGAAAAAAAATGAAAATATTTAATTTCATGTGTGTGTGTGTGCTCATTTTTACACATTACATCCTCTCTCAACTACCTTTCTACCTACGGAGGGGCTTCCCGAACGAATTAATTTCGTAGGTGGAGTTTCTACTGTAGTTGCAAGCACAAAAAATTGTTTATTTTTGGTATTAATCTGACGGCATTGTTAGGGGTCCTCGCAGAAATGTTGACGAAAACGCAAAAATTTCTAAAGAAAACTGTTTTTGAAATTTATTGTTAGACCGACATTAAGGGAACTCAGTGAGAAACACGTTTTTATACCATTGTGTATTTTGCTAGCTAGTTTTGCTAATGTGACAGTGGCACTCAGGCACTGGTATAGGTTTTGCGATGCAAAAGGGTACGCTCGTACGTACCAGATTAACTAAACTAAGAACTCGTTTCGCGGGCACATCATTCAAAATTGGCACTTCTCCGCGGGCCGCAGTTTGCACACCCCTGTATAATAAAGTTAATGTAATAGCCCTATTTCATACGGTGCACCCTATCGGTGCAGATAGGCTGCAACATTTTGGTTCAGCCTGGATGTACTATTCGCCCAATTGTAAAGTGCGGATCTACCGACTTTGAGCTTGTCATAATTTATAGAGAAGCAATATAAAACAAAAGTGATGAACACAGACATATATTAACCGGAACACTACCTTGGCGTAATCTCCATAAAATAGGATCAATAATGGATATGTTGAACTGATGGCTCATTGTAGTAAAACCAACGTGTTATTTAATGGCGGTGTTCCATTTCTTGCTGGAGGAAAGGTGTGTTGTGCATCTTCGTCCCTGTTTTCACTACTATATTTGATTGTCCTAGGGCTAGGCCCATAATTATTTGCTGGTTTAGCATTTAGGCATGGAATCGAACTTTTTTCTAATAAAACTGTTCAATGTACTCAATTTATGTGGATGAATGCTGGTTTATTCTGATTCATAATTTTCGTGATGATTCGAAGAATTGACAAAAAGCGCGATTGTTTATATAGGCCATACCCGGAATTGTTTTGATCCAAATATTTTTGCTTCTATTCAGCAGCTATTCCGCCTTATCCTACCGCAGACTAACCAGTATATCAAATCTTGTTGCCAATATTTATGTCTGGTAAAGTACATTTCAACATACACATACCGGAGGTGTCATACCGGAGGCAAAATATGTTGAACGAATTATAACGAGATAACTTTTTGCGCGGATTACCACTAAACATCTGATGTTACAATAACAACTACTGTCAAGTATCAACTAACTAGTTATAGAACAAGATACTAATGCGACTCAGAAATATAAAAAAATAATATAGGTTACGTGCTCGAACTGGAATTTCTGTTGATTTGATATAACAGTAAGGACCATAAGAATGCCTCTATAAGATTTATTATCTCCGATATCAATATTACATACAATACAACTGAGTCACATAAACAAAACAGATGTATCTAACTTATTTTTGTTGCCAACTGAATAAAGTTAACTAATAATACGTTTGTTTTTGAGAATTACCCTAAAAATGATCGTATACATTTCATATTGCTCGTTAAAATAAACTCTCTCTTTTTATATTAAAAACCATTCGTCTCTGCGGAGCAGGGTTTTGCCTCGGTTTCATTATTGCGAAACAATTCACATGATAAAAATCCACGTAAAACAAGATAGGCCTAAATCATGTATATTGCTAATAATAACATGCGAATTATTTAATTTGTTACATCTGATGGCGGAATTCACGATTCGATCCATTTCGAATTCTCAATAACTATGGCATCGAAAACAATTTTTTATTGCTGATGTTAAATACCTAAATTTATCTGTTATATTGTTACACTTTTTGCGCGGATTTTCACTAAATTATTATAGTAACGAGGTCTTCTTTTGATTGGCCCAACATCTTACGTGTCGTTATCTGTATTGAATCACGACGTTGGTCCTTATATATTGTTGTCGGCGATATTAGCGGTTTTTGTACGAAGTCCTTATTGTGTGTTCCTTAGGCTATTTGGTAAAAACGCAAATGTTAGAATGATATATTTAGGTGAATTACGTGTGTGACGTTTATGAACATTTTTTCGTTAGATTCTCATGTATAAATGTATATATCTGCCGATGATCCGTGCATTTTTAGACATAAATGTGCCGAAATTATGTGGATTTATACGATTGTTGCGTTTTCGTCAATTCAGTTAATTTTTGGTCAGCATAGATCTTCCGATCAGTGCCTAGCCAGACAAGCAAACTGTTTTTATCAAACTGCTTTTCCGTCCTTGGATGGAACCTGTAACAACTTGAATAATCCTACATGGGGCAAGTAATCACAGTTATTAAATCGTTTGGTTGCGCCACAATATGCCGATTCTAGAGGACAAACCGAAGTCACAAGGTGTTTTTCGCAATCTTACATCTACAAGAAGTATATCTAATGGACTGGTAGAATCTAAAAAGTTAATTTCTAAGAGTGTATCTCATATGCACGTATTGTATGGACAGTTGCTGGCTCATGATTTCGTACTTACGCCCCTGGTAAAAAGTAATGATGACACAGCTTTAGAATGTGACTGCGATAAACCTGTCTCAGATTGCATAAACATAAAAATTCCCCCTAGCGATATTCAATCGCAAAAGGCTAACAGAAAATGTATGCCCCTGGCTCGATCAAAAGCTGCTTCTGGCATCAATGGATGTGTATTTCCTCGTCGCGAACAGATAAATGAATTGTCAAGTTACATCGACGCGACTTTTATTTACGGGAGCTCAGACCGGATTGCCAAAGAACTAAGAGATCCGAGGTCGAATGCAGGTGAATTGGCTACTGAATTGAATCCAATAGGTGGGCCTCATCGTAATCTCCCGAATCAAGACCAATTAAAAAATAAAGAGATTTCCAAAGTTGTTCAATGCCCGATAAAAGTCCACACGCCCAAAAATACTCCATGCTTTGTAGCCGGTGACGTCAGAGCAAACGAGAATCCAGGACTTACTTCTTTGATTACGATAATGGTTCGATATCACAACTATGTTGCGAGAAATCTCAAGTCCATTAACAAAGCATGGCCTAGTGACAAAGTATTCAATGTCGCTCGACGTATTGTATCTGCTATTTATCAATCGATCACATACCGAGAATTTATTCCTCCGTTACTGGGGCCATTGTGGTCAAAACGGTTTGATTTGAAGTTAACAGACGATTATGCGTATTGGAATGGATACGATCCGCGTTACAATTCAGGTATAACAAATGAATTCGCAAACGGCAGGCTTTCCGGTACGGGCCATAGTCAAGTTACTGCACTTTGACTGCGGAGGGATTCATTTTTCCATCCTGGTATAATACCAAACGTTCCATCCAAAGGCCACATTTTTTTACTAGTGACTCAACTTCTAGAAAAGGAAGGAGGGGGATCTGGCGCATTTATGCGCGGGTTTATGGTTGATGATGGCGGAAAAAACTGACACTAGGCTGTGGGACGATTCCTTACGGAATCATCTGGAGCACGGAAGATTGGAGAAAATTTGGTGAAGAATCTCTTTGCAATTAACGTGCAACCGAGGACGAGATCATGGTTTACCTAGGCTTCCAATGAAATACAGGGAATTGTTGCGGTCTAACAAAAGCAAGAAAGTTTTGGCGATTCTCAAAGGAAATAACCACGGATATTATATGGATGCGACTAAGACTCGCTTAATGACTCAGTTAATGAATTGACCTTTATGGTAGGAGTGATTGGCTGAAAATCTAGTGACGGAGGGGAAGTCGGACCAACATTTGCCTGCATATTGGCCTACGGATTTCGCGCATTGAAAAAGGGAGATCGATTTTGGCACGAAAACGAACGTTCTCCTTCTTCTTTCACAACTAAACAACTCTCTTCAATTCGAAAGACAACTTTAGCAAGTATTTTATGTAAAGTTAGCGAAGACATGAAGTTCGTGCTGAAGTCACCTTTGAAAGTAAGCAACGCAAATTATGATAGATTTGTCAGTTGCGGTAGCGTTTACGATTTAGATTTCTACGCTTGGAAAGATGATCATCAAACAAATAAGTATAGCAGAAAATCTCACGCTAACTCAGAGTGGACAACTTGGTTTATCACAAAGTATACGAATAATAGATTTGTTGATTGGCGACAAGCAGCGTCACAAATATCAAAATCAAGACCTGGAGGCATATGCGAAAATAGACTTGGGTTCGAAACTCGAACCGTGCCTAAGAGCAGTTTTATACAAATTCGGTTTACCTGTCCAGCTGGTTCAATACGATCTTCAGACTTCCCCTTCCAATTATCACAAAATTATTATTGGTCACAATGGATTCACCCTCGCGACAATTCGGTCGAAATATATGAATTTAAATGTAAAACAATTGTTGCAATTCAGGCAATGTCGGGCGACAAATTTGCTGGGGAAACTGGTGACGTTTTTGAGAAATTTGGATCTGAAGCGGGTTTTCTATGTCGAGACAACGATCAATACAAGGGAAAATGCCAAAAATATCGAGTTCGTGCTCTCTGTCTTAGAAATATTAAAATGGGAAAAGAACATTTCCAGGAACAATTTACAACCAAGCAATCAGTTTCTTTGTATCCCGAGTCTATCATGCCAACTAAGCATCTCTACCCTAAACCTACTACTACAGCTGTTCCGAAGAAGGCTTTGGATAGGGCAAATTCGTACTGTGTGGCGTACAATGTGTGCTGTATCCCTCCTAGACGTCACAACTTAAAGTATTCGTCAAATCGCGTTCTGACGTACGCCGCGAATTTGTGCAAATATTATGGTATCTGTTGCAAACCTTAACGTTTGTGTGATACAATTAATTTTGTTAAGTTTTAATTAATTTATTCTAATTAACTTTTCATACAATAATTCGCTTAACCCTACCGAGGAGCTGGTTTGAATAAATATCAAGTTTGATTATCGTTACTTTCTGGTTTTGTGTACAACTCAATCGATTTGTTGCATCCTGACTGAAAAAATCGGGCAAGGGCTGGTCGCAGGACCGGATTTACCAACATGCAAGGCAGGCTGAAGCCTCGGAACCCCTACATTAGAAAATAGTGACTTCGACATTCAATATTGAACCATAATTCATTTTTAACCTGTTTCCAATTTTAAAAAGCAAAGTTTGCATTTTTTAATCAGATAAATTATAGACGGCTTTCTTTGTTGCAAATATTCCCATTCTAATTCGCGAGAACTATAACATTTTAACCTCAAAAACACTGATATGTCGCTGCATGGCCAATAGATTAACCGCGGTGCTAACATATTATTGGTTTGTGTGAATAGCGTTTTATTCTACGTTACAATCAACCCAACTGTTTAGCATTTCTTAAACTTAAATAGTCTGGTTTAACAGATACGTATTTGAAAATTGGGTATCAAATGTCGGAATTATATATATATCATTTAATCGATACAAATGCACTTGAGCAAACGAAAATGGCTATAATAGACAAATAATAATTTGATAAAATAGTTCATGGTTAGCAATAAATAGTTAAAAAGGTTTGTACACACAAATCCAAACGTAATAAAATCCTAATCTCAGTTGTGAATGCCAGTTATAGAATTTAGACAATAAAAATGTCACGTTATGTGTTGTATAAGATAACCCGCTTGATAATATCTGCTGAAGATTGTATATATCAGTTTATTCGTGTTTTGGATATGAGCCATGAAATTCTATAGTAATTAACAGATTGGATTATATATATCTTTGTATACTGAAGCGATAAACAGGCGTAAGTATAGGGCAAGTCAATACAAACAGAACACGCAAGACATGATGAACCGGTAGATAAAATCTTGTTAAAATATGTTCACCATGTTCGTCAATTCATTTTTAATCTGAGAGATCTGACCTATTACGCGTTTGTCAAATTTATAAATAAATTAAATTTTGTAGTGCTCCGTATCGGCAACAACGAATGTTATTTTAACGAAATATCTTATTTCCCAAATGTCTGTGCGATTTACAAGGTATTCTTGCGTAAAAATGAACACGAAGAAAGTAGCGCAAGTGCGAAAAGTCGATACAATATAACAAATAATACAATTTCGATATCTATTTCATGACAAGACTTTTATCCTAGATATTTTTCTAATCTCGGGAAACAATTCTCACAAATTCGAATTACAACAAATTCACAAATTTGTATTATATATCGTCACGCTAATAACCGAATTGCGTAAGTCATTTTTGGCGATTTTGAGTTTTTTATAAAATAGGTATTTATGTAATGCAGTAGCTTCCATAATATTGGATAAAATCCTCCTAAATTGGCAACTCGATCTTGATATTCGAATCCTATTTTTCTCTGGAAAAAAAAGGTTGTGTACAGTGATGAGCTGGAAAAATCGTAACAAACGGAATGCACTTAATTCGCAAAAATGTAATATACCGTATTTCTCGGCGAATAAGTCGCTTTTCTAGACCCAAATTTTTGGCCTGATTTATATTGGCTTTTATATTGGGTACATTGCTGTTTTATTCTTTATATTTAATCTTAGTCTTATTTCGGTGGGTGTGCAGAACGTGTTATATTGATGAAATATATATTTTTAAACATAAAAAATAATGTAATTGAAACTGAATAGCTATTTTGGGGATTAGACATTGCAGATACTGAGAATTACATTCGTTTTTGGAATGTTTAGTTTTCAGGACTGGTGCATATAGTAAAGTTGCAAAATTGCGTATGTCCCCAAGTCATAGACAAATTTCAGCCTAAGTCACAGTGCGCCATTATGACGTCACTTAACTGCGTCATACAAATTAACTTAAATCCGGCTACGATCGAAAAATTGAACCATGGCAAATTATTGACTCTCAATGGCATAACAATATCATTAGGAAGTTTTTTACGTTTTTCTCAAAACTGCTAAAAATGACTTACGCAATTCGGTTATTGGCGTGACGATATGTTTGAGTACTAGCACCATCGCAGTTTATAGACATGCCGGTAGACTTGGTTAGATTTTAGCTCAATAACCATCTCCTCGCAGAGGATGCAATTTTATTCATAGATTTGCATGTAAGCATGAATTAACTTAACATTATCACACTGTGTTCCTGTCGTTATTAAATTACAGTGCCATGTTAGTTCAATACAAATAATTAGATAATTGATTATACAAAATTATTGTGCAAAAAAAAAGCTAAATCGCCTAAACACAAATAGAGGACTTGCACGGGTCACGTGACCTTGTTACTGGACGGCAATAAAACAAAAACGTCCATTTGGCTCCTGTCAGTTGCAAGTCGGATTATACGTTTCCGTTTTGTTTGGCTGTTGAAAATGGTTATTTCGTATTGTTCCGCTGGCTGTACGTATAGTATAGACAACGAAATGGATCTTCAGCTATATTCCACTGTTTTCAAAAGATCCGGAACGTCGCGCAATGTGGATATCATCTATTGGCAGGACTGCTTGGTGTCAAGTCCAGAAGCCATCTTACTCGTGTTTCACTGTTTGCGGACAGCACTTCGTTGATGGTGAGTCATGATGTGCCGTTATCAATTTTTTTAAATATTCATAAGCTCCCTCATTTCAATGGAAAGCAGATGACAAACTACTGTTATTGGTAGGCTTAGGCCTACTTGCAGACTTGACTCGTGTAAGGTATTAATCAATAATTGCCACAAGGTATTGTTTCCCTAGTTAGCAGGTAATCTATTAGTAAGTGTGAAAATTTGAATAGATAACTAAAGTTTAATGCCAGTGCTAATGCAAAAAATAACCAGAATTTAATTGAATTCTCTATCTGAGAATACGCTCGCCACCGCATCTCTGATCCCCATGAGAGTTTCACAGGTTCCAATCCCATGCGGGGATAGTTATGTGCGAGGGGACGAGGAGATTGCAGCTCTCCTCCCACTAAGGGGGGTTCACACGACCGCTGGTCGATTACGACATCCCCCACCATCAAGTCCATGCTTCTAAAACAAATAACTGGCTAACTAATCCCGACATAGAATGGTAATCGTACGATGTTGCACCTTGCAATCTGTCCCCAACCACAGATAAATTCTATCCTAAAAACTACCCACATTGGTAGGCATAGTTGCGTTTTAAATTGAAAGAAATCTTCATTAATGGTCAGAAGGTGTTGTCTGATTATTTTGGTAGTCAGCAGGTAATTTATTACTGATCTGATACACAAACTTGGCACTGTCAAATGATGATTAGTGTTTAATTTATTTTCAGGAAAAAGGGAAGATAACCCATTATCAGCTGCTTACATGTCCCATCGATATTTGAATTTTCGCCATCCCCAGAGAAGAAGAGAATAGTTAGAAAAAGGAGGATTTTGAAGAAAGGAAAAAGGCAGGACCATTTCAACAAATTCTGTTAACTTGTATGCGTTGCAATATTAATTCGCAGTTGTTAGCATAAACATTTAATGTGTCTTTCGACTAGACCTACCACACTTTAAAAAAAAGCCGCCTACACCCCTTTTCACTAGAACCATAATACTGTAAAATATTTGATAGAAATTACCCCCCGAGGCATCATATCTTTCATTTGAAAGGGCTGTGGAGGCAGATACATTTTTTACTCTAAATTATGGAATGTTACTTCCAGGTTATCTTATCCCTTCTTATAGATATCTTGAGGTTAGTGACTCCAACTGACCCAAGCATGCCAAACTGAAAATTCTCTTGTGTACCCATAAAATAAGGCTGTTGGAGCCTTCAGACCTTGAAAACAGTCGAATCTGACCACGATGGATTCATGTGAAACACATAATACACGTAATATGCATTTAGAGGCAAAAATATCCCATCCTGAGCAGCACCGATCCACAACATCCTGCCTATGGAATCAAAACATTAGACAAATTGGTGTACTGTGCGAATCAAGTGTGCCTTTTGACTAAAGAAAATTTAGCATTGAAATGGTCAATCTCAATATCAACCTAGTATCTGCAGATAAAACCAATTGTTTTTTAAAAATACATTTTTGATGTGCTTTATTTTTCAAATATAATTTATAACTACTGTAAAGTGTGTGATACATTTGGTACCATGAATACTATTTGCAAATTAGCTTGGGTTACACCCCTCTCAAATAAAAGTTTAGACTCTTTAAGTCGTATCTCATAATATTCTTTGAACAAAAGGTTGCGGCTAGCTGGCTACCCATCAGAATTTCCTTTCAGATCACAAAGTCGCAATATTACGCCTCGCTTAAGTTTCATTGGCAACTGTGTCTGGTTGTAGTATCGGTGTCCAACGTTAGACTGAAACCTTCACGACCAGACCCACCGAAACAATTTTTTTTTCTTGATAGGGTCGTCTTGAAGTTGATTTCGGTAAAGCACAATGGACACTTTATCTCCACCAATCCACAGTAATGACAAGTTACTTTGTCATTACGATAAGCATCAATAAATGGATACTGAGGATGTATTATCAAGTCACGCAAGCCGAGGTCTTGTGCCACTGTGGTCTTGTTGCAACTTATACTTTGCCATCCATCTATTCCATGGTCGCACCCATATCTGTAAGATAATGGATACAGATAAGAGTTTTCATAAAATCTAACGATCAAGGAGTGTGAAATTTAGGGCTGGGCATTTTCGAATACCTTGTGATTTCAGAATCGAATCGAATAATTTTTTCGAATCGAATCTCGAATACTTGAAAATATAAAATTGTAAGCGACTTTATCATAGTAATTGGTCCTCTCAACAAATGAATTACTGAAGACATAGAATAAATCACTCAGATAGATTACTGAGCGTTCACACAGAATAACAAACACGTTTTATCAATAACTCACTACAGAAAATAGTCATATGTTAGAATTTCGTTGAAAAAATATGACTTCAATGAAAAAAACATTGGGGAATTCACCTCGACCATTAGCGGAAAGATAAAAACAAGATGGCGGCAATTCGAAATTCCAGTCTGAACCGATTCGAATAATTTACTATTCGATTCGAATATTCGATTGGAAATGCCCAGCCCGGGTAAAATTTATGTCCATATCCCACCACAGCCACTAGTCGTAAATGAATTTGATTCCGGGTAGCATATCTTTTTTACCAATGACAATAAAAAGACATTTTGAATCAGTTGTACAAGCACCATTAGGATAGGATTTATCTAGGGGGGCGGAGCCAGTTATTTGTTTTCAGAAGCATGGACTTGGATGGTGGGGAATGGTCGTAACCGATCAGCGGCCATGTGAACCACCCTCGGTAGGAGTGGAGCTGCAATCCTCTAGCACATAACTATCCCCGCATGGGATTGAAACCTGTGAAACTACCAGGGTGATCAGAGATGCGGTGGCGAGCATATTCCTAGATGGCGAATTAAATTGAATTCTGGTTATTTTTTGCATGACCTTTCACACTTAGTAATAGATTACCTGCTAATCAGGAAACAATACCTTACAGCAATAATTCCTTACTGTCTTACACAAGTCAAGTCTGCAACTGCAAGTAGGCCCACGCCTAGGCCTACTAATAACAGTAGTTGATTATTAGATTAATTCCTTACTGTCTTACACAAGTCAAGTCTGCAACTAGGCCTACTAATAACAGTAGTTGATTATTAGATTATTGATTATTAATTCCTTACTGTCTTACACAAGTCAAGTCTGCAACTGCAAGTAGGCCCACACCTAGGCCTACTGATAACAGTAGTTTGTCATCTGCTTTCCATTGAAATGAGGGAGCTTGTGAATATTTAAAGAAATTGATAACGGCACACTATCACCACATTATCACTCACCATCAACGAAGTGCTGTCCGCAAACAGTGAAACACAAGTAAGATGGCTTCTGGACTTGACACCAAGCAGTTCTGCCAATAGGCAATAGATGATATCCACATTGCGTGACGTTCAGGATCTTTTGAAATCAGTGGAATATTACTGAAGATCCATTTCTTCCATGTCTATACTATACGTACAGCCAACAGAACAACGAAATAACTATTTTCAACAACCAAACAAAACGCAAACGTATAATCCGACTTGCAACTGACAGGAGCCAAATGGACGTTTTTGTTTTATTGCCGTCCAGTAACAATGTCACGTGACCCGTGCAAGTCCTCTATAGACAGAATTCGGCAGAACTGTATGGTTGCAAAAATGCATGCACAAAATACCGTTCACAGAAATAAATTTTTCCAAGGGTTCATTTCCCTAATAGTACTTTTCAAAATACACTGTCCCGCAAAAAAAAAATCAATTTGCATCGATGGTAGTAATTAACATTTATTTGATCTCAGAAACTGGGAAAGCCTTGTAAATTTTGGTGAACATGATAATTATTAGCCACAGTATACCACTTACACAAGAATACAGATGAGACGAACACAGCTCAAATGAACAGGCAGATTCGGTAATACGGTCAGTGCACTTGTTATCAGTGCAACTTTGCGTGGATGGAGACGAATTGTTGGAGTGCAGCCGCCTCAAGTATATCAGCGGAGATCCTAGAGTAGACGCCTACCGGCGCTTATCTTATATCGTAATGTCAATTACTAGAAAATTGCTACGAACACAGTTGCGTATATCTTTTTCAACTTTGTATGATCAGCTAGTCATGTAAAATTAATTTTGTACGAATATTTTTCAATCATATATATACTTGTGTATGTCATGCTGTTATATACAGCTTTGAAATACGCATTAGCAATTATACCTTATCTTATCAACTCTTTATAAGGCAGAAACATGGACTGCTTTCATCGGTCTACGAAGTGTATATTTTTATTATCTTAATTGACGACTGCAAACTGCTATTGAAACCGCTCTTTAGAACTAATAGCATATAACGTATTAGGAATCGCGTTTAATATTCTTTCTCTTGCTTGTTTCCACTGGTGTCTTCCAAACAAACGATATTGATACGACATGAAAGGACCGAAGCAAACTGCAAATGCAAGTTTAGGGTCACGTAACAGTAGCTTCCATAATATTGGATAAAATCCTCCTAAATTGGCAACTCGATCTTGATATTCGAATCCTATTTTTCTCTGGAAAAAAATGGTTGTGTACAGTGATGAGCTGGAAAAATCGTAACAACCGAAATGCACTTAATTCGCAAAAATGTAATATACCGTATTTCTCGGCGAATAAGTCGCTTTTCTAGACCCAAATTTTTGGCCTGATTTTTTTGGGGGGTCAGGGGCACCTTATTAGGCGAGTATGATAATTTTTTAATTTTTTGTGTGTCGCTTATTATTCAATTCGGACCATAAAATAACTTAGGCGATAGCACCCTCCACGTCATCATCAGGTTAGTTTAAATAAATCGGCATTCTCGCGCTGTGAATCAGGAATTTAATCCTTTGATTATCAAATTTGAAGTTACGCATTTGTGTGTGCATCAGGAGTGAAAGGCTATTACCCATACACATGGGATTGCAATTTGTGAAAACCGCCAATTGTTTATGTCAGTGAGATGTCTTATTTGAGCCGTAAACATGTTCCATTTCAGCATTTCTTCTCCCCAAGTCACAAATTTGCCACTCAAAAGCTTTTGCATGGTAATTTAAGATTTCGATATTGTTGCGATTTTACCACCCCGTCTTATTGGCAGGTTATATGCAAAAACCCATTTTTCCAGGCTTTAAAACGGGCCTCGTCTTATTTGCCGGGTAGACTTATTCGCCGAGAAATACGGTATTTACAGCACAACGCGGACGTTTACAGAATGTTTTGACTGTCTTTAGATAGAGTGGATAAACTGCAATGAAATATGAAGAAATTTTCTGGAATATGTTTGTGTAGAATGACAAGGATATTTATAGCAATTTAATACTAATGTTATTTCAGAAAGGTACCATATAGTATGAATTTTCATGGGGTCAAAGGTCGAAGATATATCTATTACGCGTTACTTCTGTACTAATTATTTGCGTGATGTTATGTAAAAAGAATTACGAACTATATTGTAACAAAACATAAATTAATTACTAGTTTAACCAGAGAAACTAGACTTTTTGTACCATAATTTTATTTTACCAACCGGAACGCAAATTCAATAAAATGTCCAACAACCGGAACGCCGGAAAGACCATTCATTAAATCCATAGAATGGCAATAGAAAAACACTGAGGGCAAGTATAAAAAAAGAGATGTTCTGTATTTCGTTACTTACCCGAAAAATGAAGGTCCTTCCTTGCCCAACAAAATCACTTATATCATCTTCGTATGCCTTTTTCATTTCCTCGACTGAGGGAAGTCTTTTTATGCCACTCATTATTTGTGCAACGTATCTAGACTGCGATTATGTATTGAAAATATCACAAACATGCAGAAATAAATATACTTTTGGTAATTGCCATCAAGGCACAAAAAAAACCAAACCTAGGCGCATTGCCAAGATAATTTTGATAAGTATATTTTTTCAACAGATAAGAGCTTGAACCAGACTAAAAACAAGTTACTTTAAATATTTTAATAAATCTTGTTATTTACCTGGCATTCTATTTGAAGGATTTGCGATCCACCTGAAAAAGGGATCACTCCAACTACTGCCAATGATTCCGGATAATCCATTTCAAAGGGAATCATCCACTCAAACAATTTCATTTGTGAGCGATCGTCTATTAGACATAAAATAAGAGAGCGATGCTCAAATATATGAACACGAAAGTCAAACGAAGTAATACGGGTATGGAATCAGTCACAGTAGACTACCGGTAACACAGCCTTCACGACTACTAACGCGAAACCGCCACAATTTTCAATTTTGATGACATCAACGGTTTGCATGAAATATGAATTACCTGCTTTGTTGATGTTAGTACTAATTGATAATCCCTCTTACAAACAGTTTCGGATACAAAATATGCCCATGTTATCTTCAAAAATGACTAAATCTGATCATGATATGGAATAAGTGATCAAACCTGGTAAAATGTCATCACTAATGAATGGGAAATACGAATCATATCCAGTTGCACAAATAACAATATCAACTTTTTCCTTTGTTCCATCAGAAAAATAAACTGAATTTGCATCAAGTTTTTCGATTTCTGGTTTTACTACAACTTTACCGGAAACAATTCTTGAAGGAAATTCATCATTTACCAGATAATTGGGACGATCACCAGGTTTATACCTAAAAAAATATGAAGTTTTAATTGATATTTGTGATTTATGTAGATCATGGTATGAAGTATTTTGTTTTCAACAATGTCAAACATATTAACACAATTTTGAACACTTTACCTCGGAGATATCCCCAATGCATCATGATTAAAGCGAGAATTCACAATTTTTCGAACAAGCCAATCGCCTACAAATTCCGGAAGCCACGACTTTAAAAAGGCATTGAATCGTGAACTAGTTTGCATGTCTCCCGGCAGTCCTCCCTGAAAATTGAATATATTTGGTTTTGAGGCCGTGGAGTCAACTTATAACTATTTGACAGTTGAAATGGTACACGTGCTTCATAAAAAAACTGAAAAAAAATCATATAATCTAACAATGTAATTCTACTTGATTACAAAATTGAATTTGCAAAACTTTTCAACAACATACTTTCATAATTCTAGGAATCATCCACGACCCAGCTGATCTGCTCATTATAGTTTTCTTCGCTTTCCTACTTACTTCGACAGCAATATCAGCTCCAGAATTTCCCAGACCAATAACAACTACAGTTTTATCTGAGATAAAAACAAATACTCGTAAAATTATGTCAAAAGTAACAGAAATACAAAATATGAAAAATTATCTTGATACCTAGAAAAATTTCCGAGGAGTCAAACTGGCAAGAGTGCATGACTTCCCCTTCGAACATTCCGTCCGATAAGCCTTCAATATCTGGCATTTTTGGTTTGCCATCCCGTCCACCACATATAATAACTGCATCGTACTCCAACGTTTCCCTCGAGGAAGTATGCAAATTCCGAATTGTCACCATCCATTTTGGCTCACCTGTATTTGAGTTTTACAAGATTTTTTTTGTGATGCTATACTAAAATAGTTCGAAAAAATGAAGCAATATGGTGGCTAAATAACCAAAACGTACAGATAAATAGAAGACAGGTATAACCGACTTAGTCGGTATTTTTCAGGCGGAAAATTTCCACTTCAAAGCTTAGTCAATGTCAATATTGTTAAATTTTGATGGAAATTCGAAATGAACAAAAAAAATATTAAATAAAAATACTTATTGCATTCTGTATATCTTAAGTATATCAAATTAATCGGTCTAGCAATCCTATATCATTTTCAACAAAACTAAAAAATACAGTCGAAATAATCGCATTGTTTTAGAATATATCAATACAAGTTCTTGCTATTATGCTCGTCTCTAAGGTGGTCAAATGCATCTTCGTATAGATAGGAAATTGTTCATATTTATTGCTTAATTCTTACCAGATTTATGAAATCCTTGACGTTCGATATTTTCGACAATTGTATTGAATATGAATCGGTTTCCGAGATTGAAATGCTCTACGTAACTAGTCAAATACTCCACAATTTTGGTATGAGAACAGTAAGGTGTTTGATTCTGAAAACATGATACACTATTTACAGGGTTAAATTTTCGAAGATGTAAAATAAACAAGGTCAAGTGAACATTCCGTTTCTCGGATAACAAAGATACAAGTCATAAGATTTATCCCCCCAATCATTGGAATATGATTTGAGAAAGCGTCACGTTTTTAAATAACAACTTAGTAATTATAGGATGATTTGAAAATTTGAATTTCTAGTGCAATCTTCTTTCCCAGCCCTCACCCTATTAGAATAATCATTGATTTTTATTTTGAGTGGTGGCGGAAGTTTTTGTTTTTGATTGGTCTTTGTACAAACGATCCCAATCTATTTTTATTGGCATATTTAATGTGGCGGCTCATACTTTTTGAAATGAGTATTTCTGATTAAACTCATTTAAACACTCGCTGTTTCGAAAAATAATCGAGCCATTGACGCCAAATCTGACCTCAGTAAACGAGAGCTTGTTACGCGACAGCACTGTATGTTTGACAATAAAACTGAAGTTTGACATCGGCTGAAAATCATGATGAGAGAACAATGTATGCCTCCTCACAAGCACTCTAGAAATCATATTTCTGACTGGCGCCCAAGAGAAAGTTTCAGCTTACTGAGCGTTTCAAATTTGAGCCTTATTGGCATGTGACCAATTTTTTCGTCAAATACAATACTGGCGTGTGATTTACATACGCCACAGCCCATAAAAGGCCCCATGCAAAAGAAAGCAAGATTATGACAAATAGACAAATACTTTCGGATACGGAAAATCACTGAAGCAAGACGCCTCTTTGCTGACGTTTGAGACGAGCGATTCATAAACCCTCGATCTTTGTAAACGTTCTCCTTTTTTGTAGAGCCACAGGCCGCCTGGGAAGTAAAATAATGTGATGCTAATGCATTATTCGTTCGACCAATAATAAGTGACTAAATTCTACAGATAGGTTACCTACCTACACCTTCCCTCGTTTCGTAACAGGTAGGATCCAATCCTTCTTCCACACACGATTTAACAGTGCAAACTCCTGATACACCGGCTCCTACAACACAAACTCTTTTTGCCATTAGATTATGTATCACCGAGATACACTGCGACAAACTGGTTGCGTCCAAAGCAACTTGTAGACAGACTTCAGTGCAAATATTGTCAAATGAGTTAACTAAAAGATATTAAACTCGCCACGTATCACTTCCCAATTACAGCTGATGCTTTGTCATTCGTTGTTTCATAGATATCGAGGTAAATGTGTACGCGTATTTAAGAGTATTGAAATCAAATCACATCAACTAGGGCATAAGGCGTAACGTTCCACTTCTATATATCGTATAAATAACTCCGTTATATGCTGTATCAATACACTTGTGATTGGGATCAGAATACAGTACAGTGACACTTTGAGCCGGAAATTACCTAACATGTGGATCACCATACAACATTTATGCTCGACGTAGCGAATGTACATTGTGTAACTATGGACTATAATGTTATTCACCCCCTTCCTAAACCTAATGACCCCTGGTTAGGGCTGGGCATTTTCGAATACCTTGTGATTTCAGAATCGATTCGAATAATATTTTTCGAATCGAATCGAATCTCGAATACTTGAAAATATATAATTGTAAGCGATTTTATTATAGTAATTGGTCCTCTCAACAAATGAATTACCGAAGACATAGAATAAATCACCCAGATAGATTACTGAGCGCTCACACAGAATAACAAACACGTTTTATCAATAACTCACTACAGAAAATAGTCATATGTTTGAATTTCATTGAAAAGATATGACTCCAATGACAATAAAATTGGGGAATTCACCTCGACCATTAGCGGAAAGATAAAAACAAGATGGCGACGATTCGAAATTTAGCTCTGAATCGATTCGAACAATTTACTATTCGATTCGATTCGAATATTCGATTTGAAATGCCCAGCCATACCCCTGGTGTTCCTGGGTCATTTTGACACCCCTCTATAATTTTTTTAATATTTCACCAACCAAAAATGCCAAAGACATCATTAATGTGTCCCTAAAAAGCTTATTTTCGTCGCTTTCCACTAAAACGCGCCCATATTACGTAGCGTAAATGGGTCGGACCATATGCCGGTAAGAAGAGAGAAATTTCAAAAAATTTCGAGAATAAGTTTCTCACTTTTAACGCTGTGGTCGACACGTGATTGATATGCGAGAGAAAGAGTTTTCCTTTGGACGAGTGTTACGTCACCTTCAAAATAAAACAAAAGTGGGATTTGTAAGTGAAGTGATATTCGTTTTATCCAGGTTTTATCGAAGAGCATTTGATCGCGTGCTGTCTGGTATCTTTGTTTGTTTATTATGAGCCGGAGAACGTTGCTCGCACGTTCAAAATACTTACAACTAACTAACAACAGAAATTTTGGTTTATTTTTAAGCTTTGAAATACTTATACAAATAAAATTGACCGTGTTGCAAAATAAAAATTATACATAAAAAAAATATGATGACGTCACCGTAAGTAAGAACACTCGGATCAAGCATGGATAATTTAAACTCAAACACTTTGAGTTTTGAAATTGGTTTTGTTCACATGCAGACCACTATGAAATACTATTGACCCCCCAAAATACATTTAATTCAGCCATAATTCCAAATTATGACACAGATCAGCCAATTATAACTGGGCCGAAACCCTAGGGTTCACGCTATATATGTCAAGGTCGATTCCCGCGTTATTAAATTGACACGCGTTACGGAATGTGACTTCAACTGGGATCCCTTCAAACGTTAATAAGCACTCATATGTATTGAATGCCAATTGTTGTTATATTATTGAAAGATGCACAACCCAATCCGAATACAGATAAATTGAAAAACACTTAACGTCTTAATGCAGTAAAAATTAGACGAGAATATCGGTTGGAAACCGAAGACTTATCGATCGATAGTTAGGGGATCCCCCAAAACAGAAACTGCAGTTTCGATTCATCCGCTCTTGTAACTTGCGCACTGCGCATCGCACACACACACTCGGCGGGTTTCAAAATTCTCTCGCTTTACAAAAATCTAGATCACTATATCAATAATTGATTGATAACTCGCTAATTATACGACCTAATTCGCCCCAAATCAATAGGCTTCTGGTCCGAGATAAGATGAATGCACATGCAAAATCTGGAGCAGATTCAATCTCGCTTTCGTGAGATATCCCGTGCATCTAACAGACACACAGACAGACAGACAGACATACATACAGACAAATACCTATCAATATACTTACCGATCTTAAGATCGATAAGTAATAATCGAAAGCACAATATATTACAGTTTTCTCGGCATGGCCGGAAATGATACGTCAACAAATTGGTCGCTTTACAAAGAAGTCTATATACTATAGAATGTAGCCTTTCTTGCTGTCGCGAATCATGAAGTGGCCTATTTTGTGCAATGTAACATGCTATCAATATGAAGGGGTTAAATAACATTATAATCCATAGTTACACATGCACATTCGCTACACTCGACATAACAGATAACCTAACTCAATAACAAATACTTTCATTTGGCGACTTTCAGACTGACTGCATATATTTAACATAACCATATTCCTCATCGCCAACCAACTTTTGCCTTCCCTTCCTAAAGTCTTGTTCAAGTTTACTGATTCCACTTAAATATTTGTGCAAAGTCACGTACCTCGTAAAATATAAGAGTCATGTGTCGCATCACTTCGAGTTATGGTATAGACAGGAATAGTATATTCTTGCTAATTTTCGTTGTTGGTTGAGGATGTTTTCTCTGTTGTCAGGCGACGACGAATACCACTCTAACGCCTGCACCAATCCCCCAGTCTGTCTGACACACGTCAACGAGGCAATGTCTTTATTGTCAACGATACAATAGAATGATCCAACCGGATAGGATTAAACAGTAAATCGTGATATTTTATAGTAAATAGGCATGCATGGGAATGTTCTAATTAAGTGTGTAACAAAGATGAATTATATTAAAACTGATTCGTAATTGTGATATGGCTTGGGGCTAATTAACCTAATTATGTCCAGTGAAAAACTTGTTTTATAATTCTGACAAGTCTTTTGTCTGAACTAGTTTTATTCCCTTTAACATTATTAATTTAAAAAACAACAGTAAATCTCACTAAAATAATAAGATTATCCCTATAATGGCTCGATTATGTGATTAGACTCATCCTCAGAGAATATAGATATGTTTGTACAGAGATTTGGGGTATGCACAGTTGCAGTAGGCATATGTATGTTGCAGAGATATATGTATGTATGTTGCTTTCACTGCTACAAATAGTGCATGTATGTAAATCAAACTTGTTGCGTCTTGATGGACTCGAAGCTTTGTTCCCACGTACATTTCAACTATTACCGGCACCTTGGACAAATGACAAACATTTGCACCCACAGACTTCAGTTCCCGCTAACGTTTGCATTTGCACCAACATATTTTATCACCCGCGTATGGGGCTGCCCGCGTACTTTCACATCTAAGTGCGTTTGGATTCGAAAATACCTAAGTACATTTATACCCGCGTACATATGCACCCATGAAATTTGCACTGGCATACTTTTACACTCACATGTTTTATCTCAGGGGTCCCGAGTACTTCTAATGCGGCCCTCGAACGCTTAACAATATTTGTAAAATTTTGTAAGTTTTTTTTATCTAAATTGAATACATTTTTCAAACCTTTCGAGGTGAAATTGATTATTCACAACAAAAACGACGATGTCGTTTGTCGCGAAATGTGGCGGGAAATGTCTGGTCCGAAAAGTCAGTCATTTGTTTGTTTACTGATCTCAATTATACATAAAATGATAATGTAACATTTTTGCTTTACTGACATTAATCAAACCTTCTCAATTGATGATCATGTGACCTCGTTAATTAAGGTTTGTACTGTAATAAAATCATTTCAGACGGATATTAGTAAGCTGGTGGCACAAAAGAGATGCCAAACGCCAGGACATATGTAATAAAAAAAACATTTTTAGTTTATACAGTTTATTCTGTATAATTTTTTCAAATTTTAGGGGTATATATTTGGATTAAGTCATTTTTAGTTTATGTATTATTCTTTCCTTATCAAAACTTTGTTCAAAAATGTTTCGGATAGTTGACATAAAAATTTATGATTTTTTGTAATAAATACAGTAAATTGCAATAATAACGAAGTGTATAAATTATTATGTAAATGGCATTTGAAATTTAAGAAAATAACAAAACTTTATTCGGCTGTTTAATTGCATCACAGTATATGTCGCAAACTACACCTATCTAAAAATACGCTTCAAGTAAGCATTATTAAAATATATCAAAAACTGTTTGCGGCCCTTTGCACAATTCCCAAAATGCAATGCGGGTGCAACCCACGAGTATGTCCTGCACGACATTTGCACCCGCGGAGTTTGCACCCATTGCCAGTTTCAGATCATGGCCTTTGGAGGACGGCCCTGAGCACTTAAGACTGGTGCCCTAAATGTAAAAATATTAATTAAACTATGTTATCTGGAACTGAATGAGTAAGTTTCAGTATTCATTACTGATTGAAGACCAAATTATGATTAATTTACATATTTTGTTGAAAATAGTTCTCATTTATATAAGTTTAAGATGATACTTGAGAAAAATAAACAAGCAAAATTTATTTCATCCGGGCCAATATTGAGGGCTTAATCACCTGACCAAACATTTCATTAAATACAGAGGCACTATTAAAAACTCGCTAGAAAGTTTCTATGTTTCCCCGAAAATAAGACCTTGTCTGAAAATAAGAACTATAGCCTGGATTTTGAAAATGATTTTAATATAAGCTCTCCCCCTGAAATGAGACCTAGTCGACAGCGAGAAATATATTTTGACCTAGTCGATAGCATAAAATCCCTCCTACACGTTTTAAATGATCAATCTAAAACGTGTGGGAAAAGAAAGGGTTTAGGGGCATCCTTGCCTTATTCCTCTGTTGTTGTATGTTTTCTAAGTTGTTGTTCCCGTGATTATATTAATGATTGATATTTTATTGTATCCAATTTTCTCCATAATTTTGAATAGGAATAGGCTTTTTCTTGATCAAAACTGACAATGTAGCATGGTGTGTCCTGAGTTTTAGAAAAAAAAAATTTCCAAATGGTTTGAATGTTTTTCAAATAGTCCTGAATTGACCTGCCCGGTAAAGTACATTTTTGTGTTTCTAGAATATATTTTCCTGCTATTATTTAAATTTTGTTGGCTTTTATTTTATAGTCAACGTTCAGGCTCGAAAGAGGTCTATAGTTTTCTAATTTCCTTGGGTCGCCCTTTTCTATCATCAGCGTTATACTCGCCTTCTTTGTACTGTCCAATCAGAGGCTATAGCATTATCTATAAGTTGATTTAAATTTTAAATTCTTTAAATAAGTGTGTGAAAGATTTGATAGAATTACTTAGAGAGCTTGTCTTGTCCTGGTGTTTCATCGTTGTCTCTATATTGTTTATAGTTTGCTTCATTTCCTCATCTGTTACTCATTGTCTCATTTTTTCGTTTTCTTGATCAGTTATCTATATATGGTTGTAAATAATCGTCCATCAACTGCTCATTGGAATTAGTTTCTAGGTTCTACAGTTTTTTTGTGTAGAATTCGTACGCCACATCGAGTACATCTTCTTTCAAATTTACTATTTCACCCGTCTCTTTATACAAGCTTTCAATGAAGTTTTTCGCTTTCTCTCCGTGATTTTATCAAAAAAATACTTCAATGGTTTCTCATTTTTTTCTAAGTGTTCTATTTTAGCCGTTCGGCATTTAAATTATATTTCCACCCCTTCAATTTTTTTTTAACCTCTTTATTTGCTGGATGATTTCTGGGTTCGATATTTTTGACTCCATAGTAAGTTTTTTTTCTCGAATCCTCGTCGCTTATGGCTGTATTTAGAATTAGAAAATACCTTGAAATAGCGAGAAATTGATAGAATTTGATAAATAACATTGTAGCGTCACAGTTTTGCTAGAATATCCATAGACTACTGAAGACCCTTGAGTGGTGCATACCATATATGCTTATGCACACACCTTTCAAACTTGACTATTCCCGCCATTTATAGTATCATCACTTCACTAAAAAAGTGTTGTATTTACGTCCAAATCCTCAATTTTATTACTATGTTTACATGCAGTGTCTGTCGTGTTGTGTCTCTATATTTGAAGATGTTGTTTTGTCTTACAAACTCCTTTGTACATACAGTACTGTAAACTCCACCCTTACCCCTGTTACCAGACCCACCTACCCTCATTGCACAACTGTCTGTAAAAAGGAACATATAATGCTATTTGATTTAATATATTTTATACTTATCAATAGGGGTGCAAGTCCCACATTTGTGTTTTATGCCAGTATAACCTTGTGTATACATCCCGTCTTCGGTATCTACAATTACTTACGCTTTTATATTGCTTTTACGAGACAAATAAACATACATACAAAATCAGGTAGTAACGACAATTGAAATTGATATTTATAATACATTCTAGGTGGAGGTAAAGCATATGCTTGTATAAAGACTTAATTGGAGTAAATTAATTAGAACCGAACAAAATTAAATAGTATCACACAAACGTTAAGGGTTGCAACAGATACCATAATATTTGCACAAATTCGCGGCGTAAGTCAGAACGCGGTTTGACGAATACTTTAGATTGTGACGTCTAGGAGGGATACAGCACACATTGTACGCCACACAGTATGAATTTGCCCTATCCAAAGCCTTCTTCGGAACAGCTGTAGTAGTAGGCTTAGGATAGAGATGCTGAGTCGGCATGGTAGACGCGGGATACAAAGTAACTGATTGCTTGGATGTAAATTGTTCCTGAAAATGTTCTTTTCCCATTTTATTATTTCTAAGACAGAGAGCACGAACTTGATATTTGTGGCATTTTCCATTGTATTGATCGTTGTCTCGACATAGAAAACCCGCTTCAGTTCCAAATTTTTCAAAAACGTCACCAGTTTCGCCAGCAAATTTGTCGCCCGACATTGCCTGAATTGCAACAATTGTTTTACATTTAAATTCATATATTTCGACCGAATTGTCACGTGCGTGAATCCATTGTGACCAATAATAATTTTGTGATAATTGGAAAGGAAAGTCTGAAGATTGTATTGAACCAGCTTGACATGTAAACCGGATTTGTATAAAATTGCTTTTAGGCACAGTTCGAGTTTCGAACCCAAGTCTATTTTCGCATATGTCTTCAGGTCTTGATTTTGATATTTGTGACGCTACTTGTCGCCAATCAACGAACCTATTATTTGTATACTTTGTGATAAACCAAGTTGTCCACTCTGAGTTAACGTGAGATTTTCTGCTATACGTATTTCTTTGATTGCCATCCTTCCACGCATAAAAATCTAGATCGTTAACGCTGCCGCAGCTGACAAATCTATCGTAATTTGCGTTGCCTATTTTCATAGGTGACTTCAGCACAAACTTCATGTCTTCGCTAACTTTACATAAAATACTTGCAAAAGTTGTCTTTCGAATTGAAGAGAGTTGTTCAGTTGTGAAAGGAGAAGGAGAATGTTCGTTTTCGTGCCAAAAGCGATCTCCCTTTCTCAACGCGCGGAATTCGAAAGCCAAGATGCAGGCAAATGTTGGTCCGACTTCTCCTCCATCTACTGTATTTTCAGCCAATCCTCCTACATAAAGGTCAATATCCTCAACTGAGTCATAAACTTGTCTAAATCGATCAATAATATCCGTGGGTATTTCATTTGAGAAATCGACGAAAACTTTTGCTTTTGTTAGACCGCACAATTCCCTGTATTTATTGTAGCCTGGTAAACCATGATCTCGTCCTCGTTGCAAGTTAATTGC